ATCCATTGCAAAAGATCCATAGGTATGTTACTTTTTTCTTCACTTAATTTTTTCATCAGTCTCATATTTTCTCCTTTTTTAAGAAAAAATGAGCCACTTAACTAATATCTGTTGAAACATTGTTAATTTCAGGAAATTAAATGAACTCAGGGATGCGATACAAAGCAGATCAATAGGAGAAAGGGAGAGGAAGAAGAATTCACATGGGAAGAGTGGAAATGAGAGGTCACAAGTCCAGAAGATCATCAGCCACTTGTTCTTTGTCATCTTCCTCACTCTCTCCATATATATTTCCCGGATGATAATGTAAATTAATTTTGTTTTTGAGGATAGTGGCCATGAACATTTCCTTATTCCTGTAATATATACATAATAATTTACAGCAGGATTGTTTTGGTTTTGTTCAGTTTAAATGCTATGAAATATAAAAAATGAAGCAGGCCACCAGACTTTAGAACCAAAAGATTTGATACGACAAATCCATCTACTTCTTTTTTTTTTTTTTTTTTTTTTAAGGAGACAACTAGGTGGTAAGTCACGGTTATCCATTAATTCCGAGGACTGGGAAGACTCACAGAGGCATTTCAACCTCCTCTAACCACAAGTTTAATTTTCACACTAACAGCATATTTCGAACTCGAGAACTTCAATCTACTTCATTTCAATTATGTAATTATAATCTTTTCTAGTTGGAAATAGTAATATGAAATTCATATCCATTTGTGCCCTTTGTCAGTCCTTTCTCTCTTTCTGCTCCACGTGCCACAACACACATATTTTGTAATACCAACAAGCAGAATATTACCATTTCTTTTTTTACTTTGATATTTCAAAGATGCGTTTATAACAAATCGTTAATCTATCTACAACAAGCTATAATACGTCATAACTTGTTATCGAACTTACTGCATGTACCTCTAAGACTGTATTTAAACAAGTAGAAACTCCTGTCATTAGACTAACTAATCATCAGCCAAACAAAATGTTTAATTAAGCATGCCCCTGTGGACTGTGAACAATATGAACGAATAGAGATTTTGATATTAGGAATAATTTGATTGGATATGATATTGATTGGATATGATAACTGATCGTCCTTGAATATTCTTCATAATTCAGATTTTGCATCTTAATCAAAATCTTGATTTTCAGCAAAAACAAATTGGGAAAAGTGTACATCAATTGTGAAAGATTGAAAGATTCTTTGTTTATTTTTCTCTATTATCTCGGGGTGCAAACTGTGGGAAAGAGACTTGTAATAGAGGAAAAGTATTATTGTGAGGGAAAAAAAAAAGAAAAAAGAAAGAGGGTAACATGGCATAGAGTTTGTCGAGTTTGAGACTCGAGAGACATATGGAATGTACTTTTGGACTCATTATTGAAGTAATCAATAGTATGGTCGACCATATGGATTGTTTGCAACATAATCCTATCCACGGGTTCCTTGTGCCCATATACCAACAATATTGCAGCATACATTTGTGATTTTTGTGCTCATATATTGTAGTGATGCTGCTACAAAAACAGACCAAAATGCTTTGTTTGATGATTCATTTGATTGAATTGATTATTAATTTCACATTGGAAAGATCCTCGTAGTCATGGAGAATGCATTGAACCTTGTTAGAATTCTTATGTCCCACATCGGCTAGAAGGCTTGAGAACAAGCTCTTTGATTAGAATTACCCCACTCTAACTAATACCGAATCATTTTGTGATAAAACCCCACACCTGACGGATTGAGCAGGTGGCCAAGTGGGGACAGTATTGGTATTGTTGGAGTGGGCCCATGGCCCGTCTACCTGAAATTTAAGATGGTATCAGAGCCAGGGGACGGGCCCATACTGCCACGTGAATGGGTGGGTCCCCCTTGACCCCGTGCGAATGGGTGAGCCCTGACTTGGTTCCACGTAGGCCAAGAGATGCCACGTGAATGGGTGGGTCCCCATTGGCCCCGCACAAATGGGTGAGCCCTGACTTGGCTCCACACGGTTGCCAATGTGTGGAACTTCACGTGTGACCCATAAAATAGGGTCTCACGTGCGGGGGAGTGTTAGAATTCTTCTGTCCCACATCGGCCAGAAGGCTTGAGAACAAGCCCATAGAATTACCCCACTCTAACTAACACTGAGGCCTTTTGTGATAAAACCCCACACCTAACGGATTGAGCAGGTGGCCAAGTGGGGACAATATCAGTGTTGTTGGAGTGGGCCCATGACCCGTCTACCTGAAATTTAAGAAACCCCAAAAAGATAGGCAATTTTTTTAACAAAGTGATTTATTTTGAATTACCCCTACTCATGAAGAGGGGAATACAAACTCGGTTTCAAGAGGTGAACGAAACACATTAACCTGATCAACTAAACTAATCCAACATTTAAAAATAGATGGTAAGAGTAAAAACGGATTGGTCCCCTTTAAGCACATGCATGCCTATTTGTTGTCTCAATCAGTTGAAGAAGCTGAGTTTTGGGTGTGGCCTAATATTAGCCAGTGGGTAATGGGGTATGATGGTAAGAGAAATGAGGCTAAGACGAAGGAGATGAGAATTTTGTCACATGAATGTCACCAAAGCAGGATAAATAAGGGGACATGGACAAAATGTGCCTAAGCGAAATGCCAAAGTTGGATGACATTGCTTCTGTGTTTCTATCTATTTATTTCTCCGTCGTCGTTTTGGATTTTTTCTCCTTGGTGGCCAAGGAAGCACGACATTGAATGGCTTATTATCTTGTTTTCCCCTTGTTGCTATAACACCCCGGGGCCCTAGTCCTTCCTTAGGCCCCTCCTCCTAGCATTTTGTGGGGACCAAAACTCCGTATATGCTATTTGTCGCTGCTATTTCCTTCAGTCACTATAGCAACTAGCCCAAGTCATAATATCGAGACTCAAGTTGAGGATATGGATGATTAACATTTATGTGGTTATGTCCTAAAATATATTCCATACGCACAGGAGTCTCACACTCTCAATTAGTAGGGTAAAACTAAGTTGATGATGCATTATTGTCCACATGCATTAACAACTAAAACTAGTCCTCACGTACGATTGACCGTAACACTCTTCAACTTATTATTAGAGATCATTTACAAGTTCTAGGGCTTAGAGACAAGACAGTCTTCAATACGTACTATGATTAGTTTACAAGCTCTAATAGTATCACACATTGTGCCCCAAACTGATTATGACGAGTGTAAAGAGTTTGATGACTTACCAAAACCCTATTAACAAGAAGGCTTCTTGGAAACAACTTTAGGAAACATCATAACTCATAACTAGGATAATAAGAGAGAGCCCGGGGGACCAGAAACTTGTTATATGCCGTGTGTCGGAAGTATTAAGATTACAGGCATCCTTGTGACACACAATGAAAAATGCAGATAACTTCTTATATATGTATTTGTTGAGACCTGCAAAGGTAAAGGTAGGGCAGTGACCTTATCAAGGGAGTCAATTGATGTGGTTTGATTGTTTTAGCAGAGAAAGAATGAATGTAACCATCTCAGAACGGAAGATCCTAATCATGGATGTCAGTATATGCAGGAATAGATAAACCCTACGCGATTTTGGATGCCGCTCTTTTGGTGAACAGCACATGAACAATGTCCTCCTTTCCCATTTGATATTCATGGGATTCAATTCCCTAAACATGTTGCTTTCATCCCTTACATGCATGCATCGGTATCGTTTCAACTTATCACATTGTTTTCTATTGAGATTGAGTGCATGCATGAACCTCTCTCCCTCCCACTTAAAGTGGGACAAGGGTTTCAGAAACCAAAATTCAGTGTTAATGAACAAGAAATTAAAGCAGATTATGAACAATAATATTGTACATACTTGATGCGGACATAAATCAAAAGCTTTAGTTTCATGCATCTGCCGCGGCAATTTAACATATATGAAAACTTTAAAGTGCTCCTTTTGATTTACGTGAGAAATCATTATCAAGAGTAAAGAATGTAATTGTTAGCAAAACCAGCACCAGTATTTGTGCATTATTTGTTGGCTAGCAGCCTAGCGACTCCCAATATGCTGAAAATCATGCTCTGGTACCAATGGAGGCAATGTAATAAGTAAAAGGAATCCTAAAACATAAAAGTTCGAAATCTATGAAAATATATGAGAGAAGCATTGATTTATATATGAAGATAACAACTTTAATAGCAAAGCTGAAGTTGCTTTTATAGTGACTTCAAACCCTCGCCAATAGGAAACCCTAAATGGAAACAAAATAAAAAAATTCAGAACTTATTGTAAACAATGGCTTTCAGCCAAAAGCCCTTATACAACGGACAAAAGGGTAAGTTTTAATCGTCTCGCCATTTTCTACGAGAAGAAATCTTATCGTCGAACGTAAAATCTTTGTGTCAATTTGAGTAGCCCTATTTTAGAACTAGACTCTCATATTTAGACCCATGGGCTGGCTGGCACTGTGGCCCAAACGAAAAGAAATAAAACAAAATAAATTCCGTTAAAAGGGTGCAGTGTGGTGCAAAATGCTAAGCACATGAAACTTGAGAAATCGGAAAGCCTACCAAGCTAGGGTTTTTGGTGGATATAGCAATTAGCATGGAGAAGTAACGCAGCGATGGCGAGGGCAATGGAGAGAAATCCGGCAGCAAGAGACCAGCATGATTGTCGAATGATGATCCATCAGGGGTCCTTATATATGATATTCCTATTCGTGATGAAGATGTAACCTTTGACGAATGCTAGTATTTCTCCACAACCCTAGGTACGATTCAAAACAACCAGAATCAAGTGCCCTAATTGTTCCGAAGGCTATTGTTAACAAATTTTTCATTTTTATGCTCACAAAAAGTCCCAATTTTCCCTTCCATTTTTTATGAAAGGCCTGAACTTACAACATATAGCTAGAGCCAAAGTAAATCCTAATTACGGTCATTCTCAAGAATGCATGCAATTTGTTAAGCAAAATCATTGACCTTTTTCTCTTGCGGTTCCAGAAAACTATCGTACACACACTATATTGCCAGTACCCTTCTCTCAAAACAATTCAGCAATCATAATTTTGCCCTAATCTTATTGATTTACGACCTAAGATATGTTTTTCACTCTACACATGTTCACGGGAACTATGAAATTTCGAACCTATGTTCCTCACATGTTCGAGTAGTGGCATAGTATCATATAAAGTAATCATTACTCGAACTTCATAGCTTGGCATCTTCTAAATCTTTATTTTCTAAACTTGTTGCTGACTTCAAGAATTTGTCAATATCCCTGGAGTCCGAGCTTCCATGTCTGAGGTGGAACCACTTCCTCTGTGCTTTTGGCTTTCTGTCACTGATGGCAATTGCAATGTCATTGGGGAAGAGGTCTTGAAGCACAAAGGCATGTAAGACGGTTACTATGAGGAGAATAGTGACTATGATTGTGGCAACGACTGATAGTATGACAGCCATTGCTTGTGTTACCGCATTCGTGACTTCGTTCGAGTACCTGATGGTTGCAATGGCAGCACCAGTCATTGGGAAAGTATATGCCCACCATGCCAATGAAAACCTATAAAATCAAATGTAAATGAATGCTAGAAAACTGAAGTATAAATGATGTATTATTTTAGACAGAAATGAATGGAAATGACATCTTACTTAAATCCTCTGAAGAAATTAACCCGAACTGCCTGTACGAGCAGCAAAGAAGGATGAAAAAAAATTAGAAAACCTAGTCTTAATAAAATGGATGAATTGATTGTCAAAATTGTCTTGGTAATTCTAAAGCAGTGCATCTTAATTAGTTCAGGTAATACTTACCAGTGAGAGATAAAGGAACAACGCGATGAAGTACAAGATGCGTGAACCACAACCAAAGGAACCTTGGATTCTTGCCCATGCCATGGAAGCTACACTTGGTGCTGCAACAAAGAGAAAGAACACAGGATGGAGATCCTTTGGGATCACAGTTTCATTCGTCGGAAGCCTCTGATAGAGAGTTACAAATAAGACTAAGTAGTGAGCCATCCCAACACCAAAGAAAAATATCGGTCCTTCTTTTAGTCCCATTGACGCACCTAGTAATGCCCCCACAAAGTTCCCGACAATTGAGATATGGTTAACAGGATTGGCTACCTTTGAAAGCCTACGTTGGCCTCCGGACATCCATTGTCCATAGATTTTAAGCTCAAGGCATAAGATTGGGGTCATGAGAATGTACCAAAGAGCTGGATGCAGTTTGTTAGCAAATGAAGGTGGTACTCCAAGAGCTAAGAACAAGAGGGCTATCCATGGGGCAAAGAAGAAGTTGACACGGATTGGGTGGTAGTATTCACGACGAACTGCTTCAAAGTAAAGGGTCACCTTTAGAAGATAGATGCAGGCAACAACAACTAAAAGAGCAACTGAAATGCACCATAAAACTAGATTTGGTATTAAGTTTAAGTGGAGATATTTCGTGGAGGCAGAGGTAGGAATGGTCTTCCACAAAATAGCTTGGCTGCTAACACCAAGGCAAATGCTAAATGCGGAAACAGGATACCGCAGAAGAAATGGCCACTGTTTGTCTTCTGGAAGGAGTATTTTCTCGGAAGCCTGTTTGATCAAATTAAGATGCGGGATAAAAATGTGAAAAGCAAGGCAATATGAAACATTATTTGTAAATGTTGAAGAACATCAAGGACATTACCTTAAGGGTGTCTAACTCTGGCCCTTCAAGTGCATCAAAGTATCGGTCTGCAGGTAAACGTTCAACTTCTGCATTTTGCGCATTATCATTCTCCGTTTCAGTCTCCCTTGGTGTCTTTCCACGGAGTAGTGTCATCTGCCTTTCAAGTTTCCCGGACCATGTTTTGAAACTATCAAACCTCTTATCCTTCAACCTTTCAATGTTCGGATGATAAGAAAAGTGTCCATTGTTAGTCGCTTGCTCAATTGCAGCTCTTTTTGGCATTGGCTGGGAGTGAAATTTCACGGCTTTCGGCTGTTTGCTACCGCTGATCTCAGTTGGGGAAGAAGAATTTGGAATTTCATTGTTGGAACTTGTTTCACCACCGAAGAGCATTCTTTTGCTGTTTTGTAAATGAATTTCCATTGGTGACGGTGGCATGCTAATAGAAATGGAATAAACCCTTTGATGATGTGGGAGTTCGGATTCATCAACTACGCTTTCTAAAGCAGCTATCTCAATTCCCTGCTCATACAATTGGATACCAGAAGTTACCATACGATGAAATTGACACGAAAACAAAGTAGAGAAGTAAATCTTACACACGAAAAGAAGGTTTTCAATAAATTACTTCAGCTGGACTGATAGGTTGATGATCACTTGATTGTACAAATATACTCTCCTCAACATTATCAAATCCAACCACTTCATTTGATGATATATATTTGATAAGAGACGGAAGTTCCGGGGAATTCTGGTTTCCAGAATCCAGATTTTTGCTGTTCTCCATCATCACCGTTAAGAAATGCAGCTGAAAACATTAAGAAATGCGGCTAAATGTGCAGTATATATAAACAGATGAGCAATGTTTTCTGGCGCAACAATTATCCAATTTTTCAAATCTAGGCTGTCCCAATCGAATTACCGTCCGACACATCATGTGGCTTGAAGGGGATATCACCTATTTTATATTAATTGTCTAACAAATAAAGAAGACGATGAAAAATGTGAGTACAACTTGTAGTTTGTTAATTGCACTGCAAAGAAAAATATACACAAGTCAAACCAAAGCAGAAAACTACATGAAAGGAAACGTACATTCTTAAACTACTGCTTCTCATAAGTGCTTTTCTATTAGAAGTGCATCGATCTTAAAAAACGAAAATATTTATTGAGAAAATACTTTAATTGCTTCTTAAAATAAACACATAGCCTGTTTATTTCATTAAACACTTTAAACACATTTTGTAACTTAAAATCACTTTTAATTTTTCTATTAAACATTATCAGAAGCGTTTTTTAAAACTTTTAATTATTTTAAAAACACTATTTGATATTAACATAATCCTTCTCTATTTATGTTTCATTGTCCGTCAACCACTCTGGAATAAAATTGCAAAATTGCAAGGCTAAGTTACAAAACATCAGAATATCAACAGCTGTTAGTAAAATGTTAATGCAAAAAAAGGGACCGTACACCCCCCACATACAGCTAGAACAACTAGATTAACATTAGTTTAGTACTAAAAATTACTGAATATCTGGGGACTGATAGGTACTAATATTTGGTGACTGTTAATTGCCTTAGCATATTCTTAAAAAAAATTCAAACATGGTTGCCAATACAATCCGGAAAATTGGGACTTTTTAATTAAATACTAAATAATACAGCTAAGCTTACATTATAAAATTAATACATCTAAACCTGTAGCAATCCGATAACTTGTCTTAATGTGTAATTTTGTTCGTCTGATTTCCTGGCCCTTGCGTAAGCCAGATTAAAAAGATAAAAAATACAGCTAAATCCGGGAAATCATGAGATATCCTCTTATAGGGTTATTCCACCTTGCATGTATACTCCATCTGAAAACTAAGAACTAATCCCAAAGTCAACTGAAATTTGCAGCGATAAGCTGCAGTGTGACTCAGCGAAGATGGCAGAGATGGCAACGATTCGCGAAGGTCTCCGGGCATGCTGTAGGGAAGAAGTGCAGGACTTAATCATTGACTCTGATGCGCATGAGGTGATTCACGTACTGAATAAGGAGATGAAACCAGATGCTAGTGCGGAAGGTTTAGTTGATGATATTTGGATGTTGAGTGAATGCGTTCGTTCCATGGAGTTTGTGTTCTCGCCGAGAGAAGGCAATCGAGCAGCACACTCGTGGTGGCGTTTGTTTTTAAAGAGGGAGGCTCGTTCGAGTGGGATTGTATTGGTCCTCTTTTTCTGTTTAATACTTTTGTTGGGGATCTAAACCTTTCAATTCGAATTTAATATTATTTATCTCTTTGAGAAAAAAAAGTCAAATAAAATAGAATAAAACTGATCCCAAATTTTATGCCCAAAGAGAAATAGAGGCCACTGAATCTGGTAACTGACCCAAAGTTAAACAAGCAATGGGAATGAAAAAAAAAAAAAAAAAAAGTGGTTCTTTTCATGACTTACCTAAAATTCGTAATGGATTAACTCAATTTCAGGAATTTGATTAATTAGGGGAGGAGATGTTAATCCAATTCCCTTTTTGAAGAAAGTTGAGGTTTCATCATAAAATCAATTGTCAATCTGGGTAGTATCCCAACTTACTTATAAGTTCATGCAAGGTGTCTCCTCCTATCAATGAGTGATTCATTCTCAACGCGCACTTCATGTGTAACAAATTTTCAAGCCTAACACGTGGACAACAGAATGAAGTAACATGAAACACGTGTAGGCGTTTGAATTTACACGTAGGACAACCTGCTCTCATACCATGAAAAAAGTTGGGATTCTACCATAAAACCAATTGGCAATATAGGGAGTAGCCTAACCTCTTATAAGTTGCAAGGTTCATCCTCTCATCAATGTGAGATTCATTCTCAACACGCCCCCTCACGTGTGACAAATTTTCAAGCCAAACACGTGGACAACATGATTTAGCTAACGTGGAGCACGTGTGGCCATTGGGCTTCACACATTGGCCAATCTGCTCTAATATCATGAAAAAAGTTGAGATTCCACCATAAAACTAATTGGCAATATAGGTGGTAACCCAATGTACTGACAAGCTCATGCAAGGTCCCTCGTCCTATCATTGTGAGATTCATTCTCAACACTTTCCTTACCTTTTCTCATTCCGAAGTTATCCAATTCCTTATTCCTCTATTAGTGATAATTAAATAAGCCCGTAATTTAAACTCAAATATCACTTGTATAAAAAATGAAAAACCATAGATCCTTTTATTTTTCAGCTAATTACATTTTACACCATGGCATCTCGATGCAAGTTTCTCTCTAAAGTTTGGGGTTGCATCTCAAAATGGGTCACGATCTTGACAGCTTCTGAATCGTTGTTCTCGTAGCCATTTACGTGAAACCACTTCTTATTAGGGTTTGGCTTTCTGTCACTAATGGCAATTGCAATGTCATTAGGGAAGAGGTTTTGAAGCACTAAGCCATGCAAGATTGTTGTTACGAGAAGAGCAATGACTGTGATTATGGCAATGAGAGAGAGTATGACAGCCAGAGCTTGTGTTACCACATTTGTGACTTCATCTGAATACTTGATGGTTGCAATGGCAGCACCAGTCATTGGGAAAGTATAAGCCCACCATGCCATAGAAAACCTATGAAAACACAAATGCAAATAAATGTGATCAGAAAAATATCCAAGTCCAAAACTTACAAAATTTGGATTCAGTTTAGAATGAAAGCGATATCTTACTTAAATCCTCGGAAATAATTAACCCGGACTACCTATAAGAGCACGAAAAGCTAAAAGTTACAAATTAATACTCAATACTAGCCAGGCTTAACAAAATGGACATGATCAGATCTTAGTTCAGGTTATATATACTTGCCAGTGAGAGATAAAGGAACAAGGAAATGAAGTACGCAATCCGTGAGCCATGATCAAAGGAGCCTGGATTTTTGCCCATGCTACTGAAGCTATACTTGGTGCTGCAACAAAGAGAAAGAACACAGGATGGAGTTCTTTTGGGATCACGGTATCATTTGTTGGAAGTCTTTGGTAGAGAGTTACAAATAATACAATGTAGTGAACAAACCCTATAGCAAAGAAGAATATTGGTCCTTCTTGTAGTCCCATTGATGCACCAAGCAACGCCCCCACAAAGTTCCCAGCTATTGCGAGATGGTTGAAAGGATTCGCCACCTTTGAAAGCCTACGCTGGCCTCCGAACATCCACTGTCCATAGATTTTAAGCTCGAGACATAGAAGCGGAGTCATGAGAATGTACCAAAGAGATGGATGCAGGTTGTTAGCAAATGAAGGTGGCACTCCAAGAGCTAAGAACAAGAGGGCTATCCATGGAGCAAAGAAGAAATTGATACGGATTGGATGGTGGTACTCACGGCGAACTGCTTCAAAGTAAAGGGCTACTTTTACGAGGTAGATGCAAGAAACAATAGCTAAAAGGACAACTGAAATGCACCACAAAACTATATTTATTGTTAAGCTCAAGTGGAGAAATTTCATTGAGGCAGAGGTAGGCAGGGCCTTCCACAAAATTGCTTGGCTGCTAACGCCGAGGCAGATGCTAAACGAAGAAACTGGATACCGAAGAAGAAATGGCCACTGTTTGTCTTCCGGAAGCAGTATTTCCTCTGAAGGCTGTTAAATCAAAAGTTGAGAGGGAAAATATAAATGTTAGCTTCAAAGGAGAACAACCAAATCATATAAAAGACAACAATATCAAAATGTTGCAAATATTTAATAGGAACATAACACAAAAGACAGATTACCCTAAGAGTATCCAACTCTGGCCCTTCCAATGCATCAAAGTATCGGTCTGCAGGTAAACGCTCGATTTCTTCAATTTTCCCATTAACATTCTCAGATTCAGTTTCCCCCGGTCTATTTCCATGGAGAAGCGTTATCTTCCTGTCGAGTTTTCTGGACCATGTTTTGAAAGTATCAAATCTCTTATCTTTCAAACTTTCAATACTCGGGTGAGAAGGGAAATGCCCAGTGTTCATTTCCTCTTCAAATCCAGAGCTTTTTTCCATTGGCTGAAGGTGAAATTTTGCTGTCTTCGGCAGTGTGCTGCTGCTAGCACCTTTAAGTGTGGCAGAAGAAGCTGGGATTCCACCGATGAAGAGATTTCTTTTTTTGTTCTGCAAATGGATTTCCTCTGGTGATGTTGGCATGCTAATAGCAACAGAATGCGTACGTTCATCGGATCTAATCTCCTTAGCATCACCAAAGCCAACCTCTTCATTTGATGATATATACTTGATGAGACATGGAAGTTCAAGGGATTTCTGTTTTCCAGAATTCATATTTTTGTTACTTTTCAGCATAAAAATTTGCAGCACAAATTGTTAGGTGCATCAGAAACTGCCATATTAAGTCGAACAATTTACCAACGTTTGCATATGGGGGCAGTCCTAATCGATGTCATGAATCACTCACGATTAATCGAAAAAAATATGCAATATAATCAAACCACCGAAAGTTACATTAGTGTGAATTGTGAAGATATTTTCAAAAGTTTTTTGTGGTGGATCATGTATGCTGCAAAGATATTTTCAAAACTATTTTTCTGTGGTTGATGTACATATCTTACATGTTATATTAATTGTGGATGAATATGCTACTTTATAACTATTTTCAAAATTTCATACATACTTGATTAGCTTTTTTTTCTTTGTCGAACTTTATACATATTTTATATGTTTTGCTACTTGCTGAATTAGTATTAAAACCTTTTGTTATAATTAAATATTAAACTCATTATTTATGTAAATTAAACATAAAATCTTTCATTTATAAATAAGAACAAATGCCATTAAGACTGGTACTAGCCAGTGATCTCAACTTACTCGGCATGTTTGCTTTTGGGTTAGTGCTCTCAACTAATTCGGCCTGATTCAATATTATTGTTCCCAACTCAATTGGCCCAATTCAACATCGGCATTTATTTTGGGCCAATATTGCGAACATAGAACTTATACCGGAGTGCTATGTGAAATTGTGAATCTTAATGCTTAGCCTAGCTAAAAATAAGAGCTCCTAGAACTTATACCGGAGTCCTATGTGAAATTTTCATGCTCGGTTCGGATCAGATCATAAATGTTGCTACAAGTTCACATTTTAGCCTCCATGTGTGGCCAGAGGAGGCTGAAATACCTCTATGACTTTTCTTGGCCTCTGAAAGAGTGGACTGCAGTGGTGAAGTCATTAACTGATCCATTTAAACAAAAAAAAAAAAAAGTACTGTGTTTGGCTTCTGTCGCAATCAATTGCTCCCTAATCTTACCTAAGCTTCTAATCTCAACTCTTCAAAAAATTCAATGGTCACGACTCACAATTGAATGTTAATCTTTTCATAATGCATTGACATTTTAAAATTTTCTTTTCCAATCTTGAAATTAGTTTTACGCATTTTGATATATGGTTCAGGGCCATGGTACTTGGGTGAACTCTATTTCATTGGTTCAGGGCCTTTAACACACTTGCAAGCAATATTCATCTCCGGAGGAAATGAAGAAGGTTATTTTTTTTATTGTTTTGCTTACAGTTGCATTTGTTTTCCTTGTTCCGTCGAAGTTTCTAAAAAATAGAAAAAGAAAATAATTGAAACGTTACCGATTACCCCATGGTCTATACGTAACATTTTTGCTTTTGCTCCAATGCTCTCAACTCACTTGGCCCAAATCAATATAAGCATGAATTTCCCATCCCCAAAAACATAGAAGTAACAAATTTACTCTTTCGTGCCTTCCCTAGCTAAAAATTAGAAGGTTACAAGCTTCGTCTAGAGAGCATAATCTTGTGGATCATCGGGCAAGTGTATACTTATGTGTGTCATGACAGAACTTCTTCGTCTGGTGGAGAGCACCGTAGGAAATCTTCATGCTTTGGTACCATGTAGATATCTTAAAAATGCATTATATTGTATTGATATCACAAGGTACATATATATACAAGTCTATAACTTGGGGCTCAAAGAACATAAAATCCATAAGAATTACAAAACCTAGTCAAATAAAATCGTAACCGGATTTTCCTACCCTAACAATGCCATCAAGTTCTTTCCAATGTTAGTACAATGGGGTAGAAGCTACTGGAGAGGGAAGCCAACAATTGCTACTTTTATAGTAGGCCATTCGACATGTTGCCATTTTCCTTTTGGGTGTGGGGGCTAACGACATTATGTTTTATTGATTAAACAAGATTAAAGATGATCTGATTAGTGGTGTGGTATTCTAACGTGACAGAATCTCAAGAATATTGCCAGGATCTTCTTCTTTTTTGTCCTTTTGTTGGTCATGTTTAATCAACATTTTCTTTTAAACTGTATAAAAGATTGCGCAATCTAATTAAAATCCAGTTAATCCTCGGTTTTGGTCCAGGCCTACCCCAAGACTTGACCTTATTTTCCCCCAGTTTTTTGCTCATTGCAATAGAAAGATCGACCTTCCCCCGGCAACCCCCCCCCCCCGGGGGGGCGAAAAAAAGAGGATCAGGGTTAGTTTCCAAGCACCTTTGTTCTTGAGAATAAAACCCTAACCAAGATTCTTTATTTTACAACTATTTTATGAACAATCAAACGGTTTAATTTGGCCCTACTTTTTTGGAACCAAGGCTTCGTGGACATTTGTTAAGCTACCTGAATCGGAGGCACAAGAGTGGAAATTTCTTGTGAATCTTTTACTTTGTGGGACTAGTACTGGACTGCTGCGCTTGGCATAAGTTTAGTGGTCAAATTGCATCCTTATATTTCTTTTCCTAAACAAATGATTTCTTCCCCACCAAGCACTAGCTAGTCAGCACTATAAGAAGCCAATGAAACATATATCCGAGGCAATTTATCAGTTATATATACCATGCCCAATTAATATATATGTAAACCACTAAGCCCTACATGTGTAAAGTATCAACCAAAATGTTGTCACATCAATCTTTGTTACCACTAATTCATTAATGCATTTCGATGACCTAATTAAAAACAGGGATTTAGAGTCGATCATGCAAGACACAATTGAGAAAGTGACACGATTTTCAGTGATTTTGCATCCAACAGGTACCTAGCTACGATCAAGGAAGTGGTAGACACAGTCCCAAACAAATGATATAATATAAATAAAAAAATTAGTTATCAACTCAGGATATGAAGGTATGTTTTGTATCGAAAATTTGTCAAACCTTGCATGTGTTTATAAGAGAGTTTGGAAATTTGTCAACCTGCTCTAATATACCATGAAGGATGTTGATGTTCTACCTTAAAGATAATTGACAATATAATAGTAATTTAACTCTTTATAAGCCCTTACAAGGTTTAAGTTCTTAGCTCATTTTGGACTTTTTGCCTTTAAATTTCTATATATGTATTTGCCACTTTTTAACGGGCTCTCAGAATAAAAAGTGTTGATCCACATTTGTTTGTTTAGTCTCGCTCTTTATCTTGAGAGCCAATAGTGTTGATGGTCGTTTTCTCCTTGTTTACGAAAGAGAAAGACCATCAAACTTCATACAGTAAGGAAAACGATAGATCGAAGCAGTGTGAAAGGGTTGAAAATTCACGAAAGTAACATCTCTTAGTTGAAAGCTACGACTGCAACTTGGCATGGAAATAGGAAAGCATATTGTCCTAACATAACCTGATAACGACGGCTTTACTGCATGGGTACTTCTCCCCTTTGCTTTTAGGGTGTGGCCCTGAAAATGGCGGGTCTACATTCGAGCACATAATCATGCACACATGCACGCGAGCACACAGGAAGATGGCTAAAAGAATAGAACTTTATATTTAAAATAAGAAATAAAAATTGATAGTTAAGCTTGATGAAATATATATCGATTTGAATTCTTAGGGCTTTGCCTGCACCTTTTAGGGTTTTACTTTTAGGGTTTTTTCAAAAGTGAGATAGTTGTCATATTGTTGTTTGCCTCCCTTAATTTTAGACATGCTTAGGTCTTAAGTTCCATCTTTCTGTGTGGATGTGTCACTTGGCACCAGAAACAACAACAAAAAAACAGTCGGCATCTCCTGGCTGGGCCAACCTGGGCAAACTATTGGTCTACAATTTTTTTGTTATTTGTTTAATTAAGATTTATTAGGTCTTACACAGCCTGTGTGGGTCGGTTTTTGTGTGCCTTCTCCACTCACATATATGCATAACACCCACCTTATTAATGCATGTTTAATTAGATCTAATTATGTGTAGTGCTTTCTCTAGTATGAAACTCTTTCATATGGAGGTCATATTACAATGTTTTGATTAATCATGTTTAATTTTATGAATTGTTTTGATTAATCATGCTTTATATTATGAACTTGAGAACATGTCAAATCTTCATAACTCTCTCTAGCTCTCTCTCTCTCTCTCTCTCTCTCTCTCTCTCTCTCTCTAAAAGTCATTGTCTTATACACTAAACCAACCATGTGCTGGCACTTAAGTCCTTACATCAACATCATTGTATATTGCTTTAGCTTTACCAACCCAAAGGCAAACTTGGGCCTCAAGAAAAGAAGTCTATCATTTTTAATTCATCGCTATAAATTCCTATGGTAACACAGAATTTGTTTAGCTAGAATGATAGTGAAGGGAGTTGAAGTTTTACCCCAAAAGTAATTGGCAAATAAGAGGAGTGGTACAACTTTTTATAAGGACATGTAAGATCCCTTAATTTCCAATTAGGATTCACTCTCTCAACACCCCTCACTGTTTGTGGCATTTAACGACTCACTACGTAAGTTAATTATCTATTTTATACTATAAAAGAAGTCAAAGTTTTGCCATAAAACAAATTAACTCTTTTGTAACATAATAACATATAAACTTTTACAATGAGTTATTTCTTCACATCCTCCGGGTGCAACCAATATCAAGGGGCAGAGGTAATGGTTTCATTATTGGCACACACAGCAGCTGACGGATCTGCAATTCCATTGGCTAATGTTGGTGGAAGATCCAATTAACGTCCACATGTATAAAGATCCAAGACTTCTCTAAATGGAAATATTATGTGTGTGTGCGCGCGTATGTGTGTGTGTGTATATATATATATATTGAGTCAAAAAGGCCCTTTAATTAGAGTGAAGTTTTCATTAGTATTATAACTTTTTTATTTGATTTTTGGTTGGGTAGCACAATAGTTACTTAGCTGATTGGAAAGGCGACATGCAACAAAACATCAACAAGGAAAAGAAAGGAGTACACTTTGCTTTTTCATCAACAAGGAAAACAAGGGAGTACACTTTGACTGCTTTTTTCTAAAGCGAAAAATTGTGGATGCATAATTTTACTTTTTTACGCTTTCTGAAAATTATGATTGAGATCTCCGCAAATAAAATTATTTGAAAGATTATATATGCACAACCAACATGCATGGAATAGGAAAAACAAAAAGGTTTGGTGAATCATAACATCTCCTCTCAAAAGGGTATTGATTTCAGAATGATTTGTACAACAGAACTGAGAAGACTTGCATATACATCTCTGCTAAAAGATGTAGTCTCTGAGTAATTAGACAAACTAATTAACATCTACTTAACAAACTGTCAATAGCAATATTAGAATTGAACCTTTAATTACCATAGTTTGTT